ACCCCTCTCCTTGCCTCCTCTTTTTGATGCACAGCTCCAATGTTGTGTCAGCATGTGTCTCAGTCTCTACAGTAAGTTCCTATTCCTTCCCTTCCATTCTTGCTCTGTGCACAGGATTGAGAATCACCCACTCATCTGAGTAGACCTACACCAGCTTTGAGGGCACCTGGAAATCTGGCTCACCTGCTTTATTTCTGCTATGACTTTGAGCATACAGTTCAATATTTTGCAAAAGAAGCATTTTCCTGCTTGGGTTTTGTGGGTTGGTGGTTTTTTTTTTGGATTTGCACTTTTGACAGCTAGATGTGAATTTGTTCACAACCACCACCACCCCCATTCTCCTCTCTCTGCTCAACTATCAGTGAAAACCAAATCAAAGAGGTGATTCCAGACTGATTGTTCCAAAATGTAGTAAGTCTACTGGGAGCTCACGTTATTGCGTTCTGGTTTTCAAGTGACTAGTGGCTCTGTTCTCATACCCACTGCATGTACCTGCACACAGGCAGTGCCGGGGTTAATCCCCTTGATGCTCTTGTCACCAGCAGCAAAATTATGAGCCACTAGAATTTTTCTGCAGGTTGACTGTGTTGAACGTGACTCTTAATCACAGGGAGTACTGTGTGAGCTGCAGAATTTCCTAGAATCCCAGCATTTCAGGCTGGGGTGCCCCTGTTTGGCATTAGAAAAATCCTATTGAGCATCTGTTCTGGTAATGCCTGGATTCAGATCTGGGCCTGGATCTGAATTCACCCACAATCATCTGGAACCCATTCCTTCAAATGAAAATAATGGAGACCAGAGAGTTTAAAATCTGTCCAGTGTCCTTGAATGGCATCATGGCTGTGGCACAGGTTTGTTCCTTAGAATACACCACTTCCACTGGCATGGATCAAGCTGCTGCTTATGTCTAAAGGGAGAATCATCCATGCTTTTCTTCACTACCTATGTAAATAATAAATATCAGACAGTCTTCTCTTATGACCTAGGAAAACTTAAAATTCACATTGATGGAAGATATTTCATTAAATCACTTAACTCCGGTGTCTCCATCAGTAATCATTTATGCTGAGGGTTACAGGAAGGATTAGATGAGAAATAGTGAGAACAATTACCTGGAATGAAACAGGCAAGTTCTCATCTCATAGTTTTTGTGAAACGTTACACCCTCCTGCATATCCATACAACCCTAACAGCTGATGTTATTCTCCTGTTTGATTAAAGAATAGGATCCACTTTTTCTCTGAATATTCCTAAATAAGTCAGTGGAAGTTCTGATACAGTCATGACTGGTGGGCAAACTGCTGTTTTCAGAAGAGTTAACCAAGGATCTGCTAGACCATTCATCTTTGCAATAGGAGACAGACTAAGAAATGAATTTCTGAAGCTAACTCATGAAAAAGAAGGATGTATAATTTCTCAGTCTTCTTGGTTAATATGTACTGCTAAAATTTCAATGCCAGAAAAGATGCTTGCTATCTTAACAGGCTAATAATAATTCTCATTTGTGCAGGACTTAAGGGATAAAATTATTTTTGGAGTCAGCAATTTCCTTAAACTCCATTGTATTGGTGTTCAGAAACAATTAGCACTCCCTAATGGAGGAAGAGTAATTATTCGACTTTTTAACAAATGCACAGTGAATCACTGCCAGAGACCTCGGGTTTGGGGGCCTGTTAATTTTCAACTCTTTGTTCAGTCCTCCAGGCTAAGCAGAAAACTTAGCTCCCACATTTCCGATTTTCTTCCTTTCTTTCACAATAAATATTATTACAGATACACAAATCTCACAAGTAAAAGAGAAAATCCAAATAAGTTGTTATTTTAATTATTTGTGTTTCAGAACCTCTAAGACTATGAAACTCTATTAAAATCCCATAGGTCATCTCAAAAAGAGGGACCTGAATCTCAGTTAATGCCTTCAGGAAATCCTAGTATAGGTATCAGCAACCTTGTCTACCAGTCAAGTCATCAAATTAACACTGTTGGTGGATGTAAGTATGCAACAAGTTTTTGTTACTACAACCTACTTTCAGAGCAAGTATTTAGAATGATTATTGGCATCTGATTGATGTAGGAAAACTCCTATT